TGACTAAGTGTATCCTTACTGTTTGAAAATTGACTAACACTACCTCTACTGTTTCTAACAATTGACTAGTACTTTCCTTACCGTTCGCGTTAGTTAACAGAAAGACGAAAAAGACAGAAAAAGGGGGAAAAAAGTGTTGGTTCGTCAAAACCCTAACCTTTCGAACCCAGAAGCTCCATCTGTGGTGAATCGAAAAGGATTACTATTTAATGGCTCAAGAATCCCTACCTTATCTCGGTGTTCAGAAAACCAAAGTCCCTCTCTACTCATCAAAGCCTCAAAGATGATACTTTCTTCATCAATTTATTGAAAGACGAGAGACATTTTTGTAACTACAGGCCTATTTATTTTCCACTCACAGGGAGCACGCACTCCCTTCGATTTGAATCTTTGGTCTTTAAATATGATTAATAAGTCATTTCGGATCCGCCATTCTTGTTTCAAACTCGGAGGCAGAGCTCTGAGGGCACACACTCCCTCTGTGTTTTCCATTATATTTAGTCTTTTAATATTTAAGCCGAAGTTTGTTGAGCATAATTAAAGCTTCTTGCATTTTGTATATATCGCTAAAGAGATTTCGTGCCGTTACAAGCGTGAGTTTATTTGTTGGAACCGAGGTTGACAATGAGCTTTAATTTAAGGACTATTTTTCTTAAGGTTTAGGTTGCAATCTTGTTCGATAATGGAGTCTTGTGCTTAAAGAGCTTCATGCTTCAGAAACCAGGAACTTTACTCGTCTTCATCACTTACTGAAAAAGCTTTTGTATAATCAGTTGCTGGCAACTTCATCGACCGAGAATAGGAGGTTTCAGAGGGCAACTTCATCGACCGAGAATAAGAGGTTTCAGAGGGAGAGAGAAGGAAAAATAATAGGAAATACGAAATTGTATTTTGTGGAAGCTTGTTTGAGATTTTTTGTTGGTAGTTATAATAAGGGTAAATTGGGTAATTTTAGAAGTTATAACAGTCATGTGATACATATTTGAATGGTTTATGACGGGAAGTATTAGTCAATTGTCAGAAATAGTAGGGATAGTGTTAATCAATTTTAAAACAGTAAAGGTACACTTAGTCAATTAACTAAACCATACAGATAGTTTAAAAAATTTACCCTTAATTATAATTGAGATGGTGAGGATCCAAAACCAGACCACTTGATCAAATAGGCTCCGATACCATCTCAAAAAACCACTCAACCTAAAAACTCAAGCGGTTAAATGAGGTCTCTGAATAGATTTTCATTTTTTAACATGACTGCATATGATACATTTCTAGAGCACTTCTCCATGGTTTAAATTTGCCTTGCATAGACAATACTACCCTACAAAGCTTTCTAAGTAAAAACTTGATATCTGTAGGGTATTTTGGTATTCCATATGACCATCCATTTGAGAGTCTTTTTTCACCATAAAGAATCACTCTTCTTGGGTTTATAAATGAAAGGACTAGATATGGGAAAATATTTGTCTTGTAGGACTGGCCAAAAGAGAAGTTGGTTGAGGTAGAAACCTCTAGATTTGTTTAGCAAACATTACTTTGTTTATCAAATGACTATCACTAAAACCCAGTCCACCCTTAGCTTTTGGCATGCAAAACTTGGCCCAAGCTATAGTATGTAATGACTTTGTAGAGATAGCAATTTCATCCGTCCCCGTGGGGTTTTTTGACCACCAATCGGGGTTTGGGATGGTATTTATTCATTATATAAAATATAAGTAAGAATGGTCAGGGTGGGGTGGGGCAAAGTTGGGGATGGGGTTAGGATTTTTAGCCCTGTCAGGGTTCGAAGCAGGGATGGGGCAGGGAATTTGAATTTAGGGTTGGGTACGGGGCAGGCAAAACCCGGCCCCACCCTGCCCCGTTGCTATTCTTTTGGCTTTGGGTCATTGCTTTCATGTCACGAAGGTTGTGTTTGGTTGCAATGCAAATAAATTTGCACTGATGCAAAACCATGACAGTGCAAATGATTTGAGTGTAAATTCTGACCTATTTTTGTTTCAAATTTTAGCTTATTTTGTTTGATTACAGTACAAATAAAATAAATTAAAACATGAAACATAATAAAATAAAACCCAAAATAAAATTAAACAAAAATTTGCATTTTTTACATTTGCACTCCCATGCATTTGTACTAATGCAAATAAATTTGCACAGCAACGAAACACAGTCTAAAAGTTCTTATTCATTCTATCAAACTTCAGGAACAGGTTATTTGGGAAACAATTTTGTTGACATAGAGTATAAATGAATAGCTTGATCAACTGCATAATTATAATTAGGGTTGCTTTACCAGCTTAGAAAGTAATCGTGATTTCCATGATTCCAATTTGGGTTGATAACCAATCTTCCATCTCTTTGCCTTAAGTTGTAAAGTTAAGGCCTAACCATAATTTAGGGTCCGTTTCATTTACAGGAATAGGGGATTTGGAATTGAAATTAGAATGCATCATTTGATTCCAACTGTTTGGTTGGTCAGAATCAAAATCCCATTCTCATTTCTGGTGGAATGACATTTCCCCATTTAAGAGAATGGTCATTCGCTTCCCAACTCCCCTCCCCTAGGAATGAAATCCCATTCCAGCTAATTCTAATTCCAATTCCTATTCCATTCCTGTCTGAACCAAACAGACTCTAACAATAATCCATTCCCATTCCAATTTTGAGGGATTTTGATTCTTATTCTAATTCCATTACAAACATGTCCTTAATTTCCAAATAAGGGCCAATATCTTTTGTGTATTGAACACCCAAGGTTTTAAAGAAAAATTTCTGATGGTGCTTGTGTACATTCTGGCTCGGGAGAGAGTCAAAATTCTGATATTACCTATTTTAGCCGAGCTACTTGATTACCCAACACACGTATATTATTTTCATTCATTACAAACACATTCTGTGATGCTTATCACTTTTACTAATGCTTTATCCTGTACTCATGTGACGAATTCAGATTTTTTAATTTTCAAATAATCAAATTATCCAAAATGTTCTCCTTAATTTCCATACCATCTCACCTTAGCTAACCAAAGAAAGAGAAAAAAAAACTGTTTTTCACCATGACCAAGAATGCAATACCCCCTAATTCTGCAATATTTCTGCAGAAGTATGTTTTGTTGAGATATATCTGACTAGTGTTTCAATAGAGAGGGAATTGCAGCTATTGATTTGTATTCAGCTTCTGTTGATAAAAAATTCAAGCCACGCCAGGTTGCATTCCCATTTCATCACAAACGGACATTACCAAATAGATTTTATTATTGTTTCTTAAATGCTGATGTGGCAAGTTCGTCCTACACCATGGTCACAAAACCCAGAATATCAAGAACCTTACCCATCAAGGAATTCCAATAAACAACTCTGTATTACCTCCAAGATATCATGGGACCCATAAAAACACAAAATACTAAAAACATAAGTTTGTTGGGAAGTCCACAACTATTGATAAGAACTTTATTCATGTAAATTGATAAATTTAAGTGTTTTATAGTATATAGACAATGGCTATTCTTACCAAAGATTAATTCTTTTATGCTAACCAAACTCCACTTAAATTAAAAAAAATAAAAAGTAGAAGATATCAAATATTGTAAGTTTGCACTTTTTTCTTTTCCTTTTTTATTGTGATTAGTATCCGTCAAGCAAGTAGTAAAATTTTTTTGTTGCTTGCAACCGGCAACCCTTTTATGCCATATTTGGTATAATACCAAAAAGACATTATATACCCAAAAAACTTATAGCCAATCACTATCATAAGAGAGGTGGGCAATCAGAATCAGGTGGTATTCATCAAACGTTTGAGAGGGGTATTTTGATTGATCAAAGCTTTTTAATACCATGTTTTTTGGGGGTATCATAGATTTTCTTTTTTTTTTCCCGAAAGAATTAGAAAAAATTAAAAAATTGAAGGAAAGCTCTTACATTTTATGAAACCAAACACAACCCTATGTCAGGGATGAGTTGAGAGGATCTTGAGGTGGGGTATTGGGAGTTGAATCTGGGACCGATAGCGATAAGCATTCACCTGTTGCATAGGCTCAGACCTAGCAACGGGAATAGACCAATCTCCAGATGTAAAGAGTAACAGACTCACCTGCCATCATGTTTCAAATGTTTTATGGCAATGGACCCCTGCTACTGTTACTTTGTTATAGAATAAATAAATGAAGGGAAAATTCCACTGAATTTTTGGGGTAGTGTCATGTTAATACAAACTTTCAAATGTGATTGCATTTTCTAAGGTATCGTTTGGTGTATTTTTTTGTGCAGTCTTTCGGTTGTTTTTTAGTCTAAGAAGATCGAAAATTGGTCTATTTCCGTTTAGCATGCGAAAGGTTTAGCCGTCAAAAGATGTGGCGCCGAAAGGACACATAAAGCCCATTTTTGGGCTGATTTCCGGAAGCTTCTAGAGGTAGAAGAGAATGACTTCGTTGGTCTAAAATCTTAAACACCTCAATTGTTCAGTCTTAAAGTAGAAAACAACAAATAATGTCTTCTTTTAAATGATAATTTTGATATTTTTAATAGAGAACTGACGATTAATTAACGGCAGCGAAAAACTTCATACTTTTTTAAAATTTAGATTCTAAAATGACACGTTTGAAAATTCAAATACCAACTTTACACTACCCAAAAGTTCAAATACTATAGCGGAATTTTCCCATAAATGAAATTAAAATAGGATTGTTCTGCGATATGATCATAGCATATGCTGTGGATCACTGGATCTTATTAGTATCTCACATCAAAGCTCAAAATCAACTTTTTAGCAGGAGCTCATCACCTTTTTGCATCCGACAGCCATGGTGGTTCAACCTCCATGTACAAATGTACATGCTTTATACGCGTAAATTATTTCTTTTTTCTTTTTCCTTACGTAAAGAAGCATATGGGTTTTGGACCTTCTGGTTAACAGAGCCCCATCTTGGTTGTTTATTTATTAACGTGAATAAAATACCGCTGCAAGCGACCATAGTTTTCTGAAATTTTGACATTTATTACTAAGTACGAAAAAAATGTCGGAAGGTGATGTCAAGGTCTTCCCCTCCCTCCCTTTTAATTCTCTGCTTTCGGTACTCTCATCTCACTGGAAACTAGCCGTGTGCTTACCTAGACCCCAAAGAATGGCGAATTCGTCGAAGCATCAGGGATTTTGTTTTGCTTGAGTTTCTGGGTATGTTCCAACTTCTCCTTTTCCTGATTTTCCTTTTCTTTTTCTGTATTTCTCTGATCTTGGTTTATATTTATCACCATTTGAGAGCTACTGGATATGCTGCAAGTTTCTCTTCTTGTTGTTATTTTGTTTTTGGGTAATTATTTGATTTAGATGGTGCCAGTATGCAATATTAGTTTATGCCTTCTTTCTCTGAAAACTCATACTGAAGTCTTATCAAGTTTTGAGCTTTCGGAGTTCTGGGTGTGCTCATTTTTGGTTTGAGATCGTCGATTGCTTTTTCTCACTCTCTTTTACCTGTCATACTAGTAATGCTGTTCTCCCTTGCTATGAATTTTTTTTTCTTGTTTAGTGGTATATGCTAAGTCAAACCAGAGATGAATCATAAATCTGCATAGTTTGGGATCCTCCCTTCGCTCTCGAACTTGAACTGAAAATCATTCTATCTTTTGATTTCTTGCCTTGGTTTTTGATAATGCCTCGAATTCTGAGCGTTTTCCTTCTTGGGTTTGTCTTGCTTGGTATTTAGCATTTCCGAAATTGTGCTTTCAAAGTTGTTGGTGGTAGATCTCTTTAAATGATCCTCTATGACGAAGTGATGCCGCGTTAGGACCTTATTTTAGTTTAGTTTGGTAAAGTTTTGAGCAATGCCATATCAATCTAATGTGCTCTTCACTTGTAATGTTTGTTAAGTTTGTGCACTTGACAGTTCGACAGGTACTTGAGATTTGAATTATTTCTTTGATGGCGATCCATTTCTTTAGTTCTGTTGATGATGAGCAGTGAAAAAATGGCTGGCTTTTCCATCAACAGTTATGACTACAACGATGGAGATTATCTTCCTGCTCTTTCAGGACTGATTATCCAAGAAATGTCCTTGTTGTTACAAACTCATACTTTTTTCCTGCTTCCCATTTGAGGAGGATGTTGATTCTTCCTATTTGACCACTTGAATGTGGCCAATATGAAATTTGACAGGGCCTGTATTAGGGAAATGGATCATCCTTGGCAGTGCTGCCATTTCCTTCATTTGCAATGTTTCTAGGGATTCAAACAGCATCTGTTTGTCCAAATTCAAATCCGAAATTCAATCTGGTTAAGGGTGACCCAAATTAGACCCATTTATTATTGGATCAAATACGGATCTACCCTTCTTTGTTCTGATATGATCTGATTCGATTCAATTTTGATATATATGCTTATGTACTTAATATATATGTTGCATCTATTAGGCTGCGTTTGGAACCGATGTAAAACGTTATTGGTGTAAATATTTATGCCGGTTCGATTTTGTCGTAAATCGATGTCGAAGTTCATTAAAGCAGAGTTTTACATCGATTATTGATGCAAATATTACATTGATAAAATCGATGTAAAACACTTCTTTTCTCATGCACACTTTTCGAAATTCAAATGGTTACTTTTTAATGGTTCAATGTAAAACGCCATCTGTGTACTTTTACACCGATGATGTTTTACATCAGTTCCAAATGCAGCCTTAGTAAAGTTGGTTTGGATGCTGTCTTTTTACCATATGGTTATAGGTTAGAGTTTAATACAAGTTATTTTCAGTTCATTTTGTTTATGATATAGAATGTCAAAAAGTCATCTTTAGTTCATTTTGTTAATAACATATAATAGTTTGATCATTTTAAGTTAAATGTATTTATGCTATTCACAATCCAACTTTAAGCCAAATTTGGTTAGAATCTGATATAAATTTGATGGAGAAGATTTGATTCAAACCCAATTATAAATTCAATTCAATCTGTTTACAACCCAAAATGTTTCAGCTCCAATATCTTTGGTAGCAAGTAACTAAAATTGCAACTAAGTATATTTTAGGGGACTAAAAAGACTAGATCTGCACTGAACCTCATCCTGCTAGACACTTGACTTGTGCATCTTTTATAGCCTTATTATGAAGGCATTTATGTAGAACCTTGATCAAAGAAATTGATGTGTTTCCCGTTATTCCCGTTTTCTACTGGCAGGACAACCATGTTTCTTTTTACTGGAAAATCCTATAAATTGGAAACCGTATCTAGGGTTCAATAGCTAGGTGGAAGGCTAGGTAGTTGTAAGAAATAGATAAAACAAGGATTGAAGTAGAGTGAATTTGGTTGATCAGTTGATTGTAAGAACAGAAAGCTTTCTAGAAATTGAGAAAGAAGTAGATGAGAAGGCCTCTTGTGAGGAATACATGACGAATGCTACTACTTAAATCCTTTATTGCAGTGAAGTGTCAGCACATTGATTTTCCATCACTGCCATGGTTTTTCCTAGACCCATTTTGGTGCTTTCTAAATTGAAATTTGATATTTTACGATGTTTTTACATCATTTTACCCTTATTTATACCATGTGATATGGTTTAGCTGCATAAACCTAAAATTGGTACACTTCCCATATAAAACACCAAAGTGAGTTACTAGTTGACCATGAAAAAAATGCCTCATCACCTAAGAACCACATTAAAAACTATGGGATGGTGGGGGTTAAGAAAAAGACCAACATGAAGCTCTTCTACAGTTTGTACAGTCATATAATTTAAACAACATAAATTAGGGGTGCAAGTCAGGTACCCAATTTTAAGATTTTACACTGCATCAGGCCCGAGTTTTCAGGCTGGACCCATTCAAATTTTGACAAAGCCCCAAACCTGAGCCTGCCCAAGTTGCAACCTTAACATAAATTAGTTTACTGAAAATTTGAAACCACAACCATTAAATATGTGCAAGGCTGGAATGTTCTGCTAACTGCTATTCTCATGAAAAGAGCAGTATATATTCTTTGAGGATTATGTGATCCATGTTCCTAGTTATAACTAATATGGATGTTCCACCCATTACATGACTTTTTTTTTTTTCTAGTTATATGCTTAGGCATAGAGTTCTTGCATCCATTTCTTTTATTCACCAGCTACATGAAATACAATTTCCTTCTTCACCTGCTTTTTGATAAATAAGGAATTTTATTAGAATAGAAAGGCTAATGCAGTGAAACAAAGCTGCAAGCCTGCAAGGCAGCAAAATACAAACTTTCTCCATTTATTTCACTTTTTTATCCCTTGTTTTGTTAAATATCACATTTTTTTTTATGAAACAGGATATATGGTCTAAAAAAATATGGAATTATTTCTAACAAGTATTGATTATATAAGAATTTTTTCAATATTAAATAAATTAACAGTGTATATTCAAATCAAACAATAGGATCATATTGTGAAGACACAAGCTAGTTTGGTGTACTGTGTTACTGTAGGTTGTGTAATGTAAAATACTTTCTTTGTATATATTGGTAATATACCTGTCACATAGGGACAATTATCTGCAACCAATCCCTCATATTCAATTTTATGTTTTGGCTTGGTTCTCCTAGTTTTCAGCATACACATTTGCAAAATCTGTTAGATAAGTGACTATATTTTAGTTCTTAATATTTAATACAAATAATACCCATCTCACCTCAATTTCAACAGAGGATTATTCCTATTTTTAGCTAAAATGAAGGAATAATGGGGTAGAGGGCTAAGTAACTGCCTTGGACATTCTATTTGCTTGTTTCAGTGAAGATTTAAGGAACTTCAAGATTTGTGATGCACAATATTGGCTATTCAAGTAGATTAACTTAATGTTTTGAGTTGGGCCTCCTGGAAGGGAATGAATTTCCCTTAGATTGTCCAAACTTCTTGGTGCAATTTGACTATAGATTTCTCTTGGGTGCTTCCTTCTATTCCCTAGGTAATTTTCTTATTCTAGAGTGTTTTATTCACTAGGGCAAATACTACTTTCTGTATGATGCTCCATTGTCCTTTCTCTTTTTTTCTGATTTTCCTTTTTGAGATAATGTCTTGTTGATACTTTCAAGAAAACTTTCTTATTTCTAGGAGTAAAATGTGGAAGATTTCACTCACTACATAACGTAACATATGCATTTGAGAAAAAAATCAATCTAGAAAGTGAAGCTTAATTTTTTTTTTCTTTTGATAAGTAAAATAAAACAACCACTAGAACAAAGAGTATACAACTAGGAAGCTTGCTCCACCAAACATATCAACAGAAAGTGAAGCTTAATTTGATTTAGTAAAGTAGTACATGTGGTTGTTCATTGACATTTCCTTATCTGTTATGGCTTTTTGGGGATTTTCTGTTTTTTGTTGTACATTGCTATGCTTTTACCATTAATATTTTCTATTACTCATCAAAGAATCAGAGATATCTCAATGTGACATTTTCTGTTATATTGGGTTGACAATCTATAACAAGGGAGAGACTGAAGAGGATGTCATGCATAGAATTAGAGCAGGATGGACAAAATAGAAGGGTTCATCTGGAGTATTACATGAGAGGAGAATACCACTTAAGCTAGAGACAATTTTATAAAACAGTTGTAAGGCTAACACTGTTGTATGGGGCAGAGCGTTGGGCAGTCAAGAAACAACATGTACAAATAATGAGTGGAAGAAAGGTGAATGTTGAGATGGATGAGTGGAAAAACTAGAAAGGATATGACCATAAACAAACTTATTTGGAAGAACCTAGGAGTAGCTCTAATAGGTGATAAAATCAGGGAAAGTAGACTAAGATGATTTATTCATGCGTAGATAAGATCATCTACAGCACCAATAAGAAGTGATCTATTACAAGTTGAGGGGCCTGAAAAAGCCAGGGACAGACTAAAAAGGACATGGGTTGAAATAATGGGAAATGATTTAAGGGCTCATAATTTAACAATGGATATGGCATTGAATGGCTGAACAGGGTTTATGTAGTCAACCTCATATGGTGGAACAGGCTTGAAGGATCATGAGTCCATGTCACGTAAAAAGGGTTGGTAGCATGAGTTACATCCTTCAGTTTTCCACATAAACAGTTAGAGAGCTAATTTAAGGAAATGAAATTATGTTTCTGTATCTTTTTTGAAAATAGATTTTTTGGGGGTCCTTAATGGTTGTGTATAATGTACAGAAACTCTTTGTACAAGGATCATATATACTTTTTTTATTTAATACACTTACTTTAGTTTCAGAAGAATTATGTTTCTGCATTTCCATTTGATTTTAATATTGATACAACTTTAATACGGTGGAATTTACATTTTAGCTTATAGTCTTTTGTGTTAATATCTTGTGTCTCTAATTGAAGACCTGCGGAGGTCCTTTTTCTACTTATGCAATAAAATTGTATTCCATGCTTGAGTATACTGATCCTCTTGCATCTGATTGATTTTTAACTAAAATATCTTTCTGATGTCTCATTATGCACAGTGTTGATCTGGCACATGCGTAGCCACTGAATTTATTGAATTTGTCCAGAGGATCTCTCTTCCCCCTATCTGAATCATTTATTTCCAAGCAGTGGCAGTATGGTGTCATCACCGTGGTCTATGTTGTTAAAGTTACGTTGTGTAACCATTGATGTAACTGGCACACTTATAGCTTACAAAGGAGAACTTGGTGACTACTACTGTATGGCAGCCAAAGCTGTTGGATTGCCTTGTCCAGACTACAAGCGCATGCATGAGGGATTCAAAGATGCATATACCAACATGGCAAAGCAATATCCATGTTTCGGCTATGCAGAAAAAATGCCAAACATTGTCTGGTGGAAATCATGCGTCAAAGACTCCTTTATCAGGGTAGGATATAATATCACATACTTGGGTCATTCCATCAGTCTTTTCTTGTCAATGTATTTCCCAATGCTGCTATGAAATAGTATCTTCTTTTGTTGGCAGGCAGGCTATGAATATGACGATGAAACATTTGAGAAGGTTTTCAAACGCATATATTCTGTATTTGGTTCCTCTGCTCCTTATACCATCTTTCCAGATTCCCAACCATTCCTAAGATGGGTGCGTGAAAAAGGAATCACTGTTGGGATTGTGAGCAATGCCGAATACCGGTATCAGGATGTCATCCTTCCTGCCTTGGGCTTGGAACAGGTAAAACACATTGGTTTTATTCATGGATTCCTTCTGAAAATCAACTTATTTAACATTTGGTCTGATTTGTTCCTATTTATACTTCACCCAGTACTTGACTAAAGGTTTGGTAGAACTTGCATTGGTAAAGTTGATCATCTTGATTCAAGTGGTTTCTTTACCGAAAAAAAAAAAAAAAAAATTCAAGTGGCTAGATGAAGTTTCTTTTAGAGAAATTTGGTTCATCTTCTTGGCTACCCCCAATTGTTAGTGTTTTTTCTCTTAAAAGACTTGAAGGGTTAAAAAGACCCCTTTTTTTGCTCAAACGAAACCATTCCATGATTGCTTAGTTTGAATGTTGTACTTTGGTTTCTAGTGTGCTTCTGAAATTATCCTTCTAGTTCTCCAAAGATTTTCCACTATAGATGAAGACACAGCTACTAGAATTTTTTCCCAGTGTAACTCTGTGGTGCATTGTTTAACCTTTTCTTCGTCAATATCAATAACCAGGTGTCTTGGTTATTTGAAAAATGATAAAAATTTTGCGTATGATTGATTATATGTGTGTCTTCCATGCACTTGCAAATCTCATATCTGTGATTCTTTCTTTTTTTGCAATTCAGGGATTCGAATGGGATTTTGGTGTGTTCTCTGGTCTTGAAGGCGTGGAAAAGCCAGACCCTAGAATCTATGAGATTGCGCTGCAGAAGGCTGGAAATATTGCACCGGAAGAAGCTTTGCATATTGGAGATAGCTTTCGGAAGGATTACATGCCGGCAAAGAGCATAGGAATGCATGCATTGCTGTTGGATAGATTCAAGTCACCTGATGCTGAGAATTGGAGGAAAGCAGGTGCACTTGTGCTTCCTGATCTAGTGGCTACACAAGCTTGGCTTACTGCAGAGAACTCATCTTCCCAGGAAGCTGCTTCCTATACCTGAGATGGGGTTTTTTCTGTTATATTTCTTTCTTTATTTGGTACAATTACCTGAGATGATGCTGGTTGCTGGATTAGTGTTCCTAATGTTGGATAGGATGTTACCTTGGCTAGGTACTATCTTCATGCCCAGATACCCTCAAATTGAATTGTAGGGTTGGGTAGAAAGTGTATAGCCCTGGAATGACAGAATCCAATGCGTCGGTGACTGGATTCACATAACCGAGTCGTTGAAATTATTTAACTGACTGATATATGCATGCATCATGCATGTGAATCCATATTTCATTGTGTCAAATCCTTGAGTTGTCTTGTTCGTATTTTTATGGAACAAATTCTCAGGGATTCTGGATACAGCAATACCTCAATCTTTCATTTCACACTATTTAACATGTTCAGCTGTGCCAATGTCAATGGATTAAGAATAAAAGAAGAAACTGCAGAGCAAGAGGACGAGATAAAAGATTTTGCTATCAAATGTTGTAGGCAATAAAAATCATCATTTTTGTCAATCCCACCATGTAATTTCCAGCTGAATTGGTTTTCCCCATGTTTAAATCTTTCGTCTCATACTCTAATGGCAAGAAGGGGAACATGTTAAGTAGTGTGAAATGAAGGAGCAAACTAACAATAGGTGGGTAGCTTTCCTGCATTGCAATAGAGGCCTAGAAGCCCAGACTGAGTCCTACTTCAAGTTCACAAGGAATTTGGAGCCACAAAGGAGTGACGTTTTACAGAATAAAAAAAAAAAAGCAAAGTATTTCCTTCATTTTATTACTTTGAGTAAACATGGAATTTTGAAGAATTTGGAGAAGTTATTTCGTTCATCATCATAAGTTCTTCAGTTCAGACATCAGAAGTAAAGAAACTATTTTTTGGGGTAATGCAATATCTTCAGAAAAAAAAAATTCCAATAAGAAAAAATAAGATGTGAGCAACCCGAGTTATGCATGATGTAGTTGAGTTCACTGGGCTCCATTGTGGTGTGATTGAAACCACACCAGACCCATCAAATGTTTCATACTGTATTTAATGTGTTTTGAACTACATATCATCCAATTAATCCACGATTGCGTGGAGGAAACTTGGATATTTTATCATGAATAAAAAAAAAGGGTAAATTACAAAGACCCTTCCTATATTATGGAGTCTGTGACAAACACCCCCCTCTATTTGTTTTGCGATAAAGACCCGCTTTCCGATAGCTTTTCGTTGAAATCTGCCGTTGCAATATTTTTTAATCTCTATACTATCCTTGTAAAAAAAGTACTGTTCATCCTCTCCGACCTCGTGACACAGGAACAGCAGCGGCCGTAATTCCTTCTACCTCATATTCTTTCACATTTCTCTCTCTTCCTCCGATCTCTCTTATTCCCCTTCCCCTTTCTCTCCTCCCCTTTCTTTTTCAATGGCTACAGTCTATAGGACAACAATTATTTTCCCCTTTCTTTCTATTTTTCATGCCTCTCTCTCTCTACCGACAAGATGTCGACGAATCCCTCCAGGCGCACACATACTAGTATTTTCTTTTCCTACACAGGGACACATGCTACTGCTTCTGGATGTCACCCACCAGTTGGCCATTCGTAGCTTAACCTTACCATACTCGTCACACCCAACAACCTCCCATTTCTACATCCTCTTCTTTTCAAACACCCTTCCATCCAAATCGTCGTCTTCCCTTTCCCCCATCACCCATCTCTTCCCCCGGCGTCGAGAACGTCAAGGACATCGGGAACCGTGGCAATACTTCCATCATACGCGCCCTTTCTGCACTTTCCGATCCCATCACCCATGTCACACCTAGTCGATGTCGTCGACGTGAGCCGATTGAAATGGAAAACCAGGTAAAGGAAATGAAGAAAAAGTTAAAAATTAAACAACCAATAAATAAAGGCAAAAGAGAGGGGAGGCTAGAGCTCGCTCGCTCTTCTCTCTCAGAGCCAAACACAGCCCTGAAATAGACGAAGGCAGGGATGAGAAGTTGTTTAATATTCACAACTTCACCGACCTCCTCTGAACTCTCTCTCTCTCTCCATTTAAGACTGAACATTGTTGTCTTTCTTCTCCTGTGCTCAGAAACCATCTCTTGTTCCCTGTGTTTAGTTGAAAAACCCCCCAGAAGAGGATAGCTGGGGAAAAAACTATCTGGGTTTTGTATAATTTCTCCTCTTTTTCAGCTATTTGGTTACTGAATCCATCAGCTTTCTTTCATTTCCCATTGTGTATTTTCTCTTGAGTGCAAGGGATGAGTAAAGAAGAGTTCTTGAAGATCCAGGTACGCCATTTCCTCTTCTTTCTTTATTCTTTTTACTGGGCTTTGCTTGTTTTAAGCTCAAGATCCAGGTGTCCTTTTCCTTGTGTTGTTTCTTCCACTGTTTTCAAATCAGATCGGATCGGACGGTCGAACCGGAAAAGCCGGGAACCGGCTATCTGATCAGTTCCGTTTTTCTCTAAAACCGTTTTTTCCTTCAAAGTCAACAAATCGCTGAACCGGCCGGTTAACCGTTCGAACGGTTTCCACTGTTTTCTAATTTTTTATATTTTTTTATCAGAAAGGGCTAGCTGTTCGAATTAAACGATCGGACCGTTTGAACCGGTAACCGAACCATGACCGATTCGTTTTTAAAAACCACGGTTTCTTCTTTCTTTCATCTCTCTCCGGTTTATCTTCTTCCATTTGCAAATCGAAATTTATCCCTGATATTGTTTTTGTTCTGATGGATGTAAGCGGAAGGTGAAGAAACTGTTGCATCATCTCCAGAAACTTTTTTTTTCTTTTAGAAAAAAAAAATACTGGTTTTTGTGCAGAAACATTTTATTTTCCCAGAATTATAATTTCTCAAGTGGGTTAGCTGGAATTTATTGGTATTTTTAGCCATTTGTGTTGATTTTCACTTCAATCGGCTCAGGTCGAAGACATCAACTAGGGGGAGAGAGAGAGGGAGAGAGAAATGTAAAGAAATCTGAGGTATAAGGGATTACCGCCCCTGCTGTTCTTGACTTCTTGTATCGTGAGGTTGGGAAGATGAATAACGTTTTTTTACAAAATAGTATGAGGATTAAAAAATATTACAATGGCAAATTTCAACGAAAAACTATCGGAAGGAGGTCTTTATCTCATAATCATAATACAAGAGGGGTCTTTATCGCAAAACAAAGTAATGGGAGTCTTTGTCACCCCATATTACAGGGGAGTCTTTATAATTTACCCAAAAAAATTTGGCAGCATTTCATGGATCGAAACCATCTTAAATTCTTAACACAACTAAGGCCAGCTTTTCTGTAACATTTATCTCCAACTCTTGATAGATGACATGATATTGGATTCATATTAACTCTACTTCTGGACTAAGACAAAAGGCAACCAAGTTGAGAGATGGAAATAACAAAACAAAGCCATCTGGCTGTCAACTTGCTATCTCCATCCTAACTGTCCTTATCCAATATACTCTCGAAGCCCTCAAGTTGTGCTTGGCTTGAAAGATCAAGACGGAGTTTTTTCTTATATCTTGTAAACAATGCCACAAGGCCCACAACTGTACACATTCAGAGAAGACGGATTTTTATTCTTCAAGCCTTTAAAACTGACCATTTAACACCTTTGTGACAGTAACCACATTCACATTCACACAGGGCAATTAAGGAGCAATGAATGGGTAGAGTCCAGGTGTCCCAGTTTTATTGGGCCACATAATGAATTGGAGGAAAGCATGGTCCTACATATAAAGTACCCATTTGGAGAGGGCTGAAGCGCAACATCTAGTTTTCTAAAGTGGGCCTTACACGAACAGCCTAGTCTTTCCGCGCGAGCTTCAGGCTCTTTAGAAGCTCGGAAGCCTGAATTCTAAACTTTTTCCGTTTGGTAATTTAGATATCTATTGAGAAAAAGCTCCAACCATAAAAGACGCGAATAACCCGAATTTGGGCTTTTTTAAGAAGCTTCAAATAAAACTTTTACAATCTTTTAGCGCCCCGCGTTTTATTCGAACATGTGTCATGACACACACAGTTGGGAGAAAATGAGTTATCTTTCAACAATATATATATATATTGTTATATGAATGTATAAGTGGGACCCACCAATGGAATGTAGGTCTCACGTTATGTATTATGTGGGGATCACCTATGGAAAATGCATGTGGGCCCCACATACATGTCCACCAATGGTATGTGGGGCCCACATTACATATTATGCATACGTTGAAATGTACGTGGGGCCCACCTTAAAAAATATTTGTAGACTCCATAGTGAAGGATATACATAGGTGGATTTACATATGGGGCCATTAATGGTGATTGCACGTGGGGCCCACAACTATGAAATGCACATTGACATATACGTGGGTCCCACATGTGTTGAATGAAAGGTTTGGTGGCCCACGTACAAGACATTCATATATACATAACACATATATTTTCATCACATTACCAAACAATCTTCCAACTTTTATGGTCTTTCTAGAGATCTATGAAAAATATTTCAACCAAACAGTCTTTGGTCTTACGAGCTCTATTTGCAAAAGTTCATCGTGTCTTTTTAAGTGTCAGATCTTGCAATTGATCTTTTAGAAAAGACTTGCCAAACAGACACCAAATTGGCTGTCAAAGGACAGTATTCTTCATCCTCTTTGACCGAAAGAGCTCCAAAGCAGCTAAGCCATCCAACTGAATCTTCAACACCGCCCTCTTAAAGATAAAGGAGACTGAATTGGGTGGAAAAAAAATCATGCACACCGGGCTGGATCACCTATCAAGAGTGAACACACCAATGTTCCATATATGATGCGGTTCCAAGATGAAGTTGTGCTTTTATCTATCTATCACTATAAAAAGCCAATACTTGTCTTGGACTCGTGCATGTCATAAAAGTTAAAATCCAAATACTATATAATTTAATACTTAAATGTATACATGCATAGTACATGTTCTTCAACTAGTACTATATAAAATAATACTTTCTTTTGATTTTAGTGCACGAGAGAGAAGATAAATCCAAATTTTATATATGTTAATATTTATTTGCACATGATCAAGACTTGTAACCAGCTTCTAAAATCCACTCTTCAATTCAGGGCCGTAGCACCGGTAGCCAATAGCAAACTGGATGATACATTGCATGAGGCACTATAATCCATAATCCTTGGTCCGGATTTGTAGCTGATGTAAATATGGATCATTGGGATGGATATAGCAGAGGGCAGAGGCCATATGTCGCCCAATCAAATTTATGTACGTCTTTCTCCTCATTAATGCAAATTTAGGAATGGCACCAAGATAGATAACCTTCTCTGACATAAGATAAGCGCATTCCCTCAGTAAGTGCCTCTAATATGCTTAATTATATTATATCATTGAGGTGAATGAGATCAATTCAAAACACACACACACAGCGTCATCAGCCTAGCTAGCTATCCACGTTCACTTTCGGGCTCTAAAATCCAAATTGAATTCAATCTCCTGTTTATTACAACTAATAACGAGTTGATGGGGTCGTTTTCTTGGGGATCTCCTTGGCTGTCTGTTAGTAGTATCCAGTCCTCCTTTCCACAAGTAAGCTCTGGAGTCCAGAGGATTCAATCAATCCGACCGACTTCTTATGAAATTAGAGTGAACGGTGGTGAATACTAAAAACTAGCCCAGCAGTTAGCAACCCAAATTAATAATGACCTAGTAATTAAGTACCGGCCTGAGATGGTGGCTCGGCCTCCATGGAGGTGGCAAGGCATCGGATCAGAATCATCATTCATGTAAGTGCAGCAGGTTCTTTAATCTTTATGGTAAGATTATATATGGAGGTGGCAAGGCACACGGCTTCCCATTTACATGGAGGTGGCAAGGCATCGGATCCCACACGTTGCCCCAATTTCTCTGCTTTGAGTTTCTGGGAAGCCGTGTGCCCATGCTCATGGCCTATATAGTAGTGCAGGGCCTTCTCTGTACTTCGCAATATGGGGGCCCATACTCCTTTATGCTCAGTTTGGAAGGAGTAGATTTTATATTATTGAAAACAAGAATTAGTCAAGCTTCTCTAAGTTGACTGAAACTTTAATTCCGTAAATAAAATTTGTTAACAAACAGGGATATTTCCGTCGTCCCAACCATACAACAGTAAAGAATTGCAAAAACTAAAAACAGATACAGAACAACAGCAACCTCACCAGATTTTGTTCAACTCTGCATTCCTATGTATCATGACAAAGTCATGGTAACTATGTGATGTATTTCACTATTTCAAGCTTGGGTTCTGTAAAACCCTCGAAGAATCTGTGCTAGTAATCATACCCCGGCCATTAATTTGTCTATGTAATTACGTACGTCTCGCTATTGACCTGTCCGAGTGGCGGTTGCCGTTGTAGTTACAGATACAGATACAGATGATGGTTTCTCCTCCTGTAGTCTCTCTCTTGGTAGTTGGACACCATTGTCAGCCAAGGCCATCTCTGCCTCTGCGGCCATGGCTTCCTCTCTGAATTTCTTGTAAATATCACTTCTATAGAAGTCCCTTGTTCTATGAACAAGAACATAGGACACAACAGCCCCGAACAATGTCACTGCCGTAATTATGATGAACGACAGTTTATAGCAGTCCACGCCGGTGCAACTCAAGTCCGTGCCGGGTGCCCTGGTGCGACCAAAGGCTGCCATTTGTTTGTTTGCTTCTTTGTCGTAGAGATGCCCTGCTACTCTCACGTTGAGGATGTATAATCCGATTGGGCTCGCCACTGCACCAAAGTTGTACAGAGTAGAATAGTATTTGAGGCCAAAGATTTCAGAAATGATGGCGAAGAGCAGAGGCCATTGTGCACCGAAGCAGAAGCCGATGATCACTGATGCGACATAGAGAGAGCCCGGGACGCCGAAGGCGATAAGAAGGTGGCCGACGCACGAGAGGAGGAGAGTCATGGTAAGCATCAAGGGGCGGGGGAATTTGTATTTCTTCAAGAAGATTTCAGAGGCGAAGCCTGAAACCACTCGTCCGAGATAGTTCCATATGCTCACAAGTGATACAAAGGTGCTGATGCTACGAGAAGGGTAGCCCAGGGATAAGCCTATCTGGCCCAGGTTGTCGATCGCCGTTAATGTCCCACCGACACCGCAGATGGTTGCGAAGAACAGAATCAGCATGTCAACGCTCACCAGAGCCTGTAGTATAGTATAATCTTCACCTCTGTCCGGCGGCCTGAACATAGTGCTCATACAAGAAGCCGACTTTTGTGAAACAGGCGATGAACTTGGCGCTGCGGCAGCTGGTGCTTGCGGTGGCAAAGCCTCTGCCTTTGGTGGTTCTGCTGCTTCAGCGGTTGTCGTTGGTGCTGGCGCTGATGGCTTCTCAACAGTAACCATCAACTGGGAAGAGCAAGACCTGTTTAAGGCTTGCCTCTGCCTCTTGCTCTTCCACATAGCAATTTCTTCTCTGATAACAACGGCAAGTGGGAGAAAGAGTAAGATGAGAACAGCGGCAGCGCTGCCACCATACTCATACTGATTGAAGTCGAACCTTTTCTGTACAATGATCAAGATCATGAGAAACCCGGCCAGGCCGAGAGAGATATAGAGGAAATGGTAGAAAACCTTCAGCTCGTTCGGTTGTCGAACGACCCTCATGATCCTTATAGTGCGCACAAAGCCGAAAGATATCGCGGCCGGAAGCCAACCTATGAGCAGAATAAGAGCCTTGGAGTTGTTTCCATATAAAGCATGGTAGATCTGAGTGATAATGGCGCCACTGAGACCTACAAAACCCTTTAAGAGACCCAGCACGACGCCTCGGCTTTCCGGGAAGTTCTTGACACAGGTGACGAGTGCGCCAGTGTTGGCGAACGACTGTGAGTTAGCACCGAGACAGATGTAGATACACATATGCCATACATGGGGTCGGGCAATTCGACCACTGACGGCAAGCCATATCATGAAGTAGCCACTGAAGTTCATGACAGCGCCGATGACTAGCACCACCCACGGTGGCGTCACCTCGTTGATTAGCCCTGAGAGGATGCCGACGTTGGAACCCAGATCCTTGAAGAAACTTAACAAGTTGAGTGTGGTTTGGTCGTACCCCAGTGAGGTCTTAATGTCATTAGAGTAGAGACCGAACATATATGTTGCACCCGCAGCAGACATGATGAGGAAAGATGCAAACACCATGAACCACCGGCCCAAGACGATCTGGGCGGTGACGCCTCTTACATCTCTCCACCCAGCCCCGCCACCGCTCATCTTGGCCACTACCATCTCTGATCTTGTGCTCCCTTACTCCCCACCTCGTCACAACTGCAAGTGTGGGTCTGTTGCTAGTTGGTTTGATAAATGATGAATCAGAGGACTACTATATATATACACTAGCTACATGTATAGCATATGGACTCAATTAAGTTAGATGATCTAGGAGGGGTTTTATCTAAAGATAAGGAATTGATTTGATGAGCTTCAAGGAAGCTGATAAGAGAATGATGGGGCTGGGTACATTTTGATTCTTTATTATGAGGTTTGACTGGATACGATTTGAAACTTTGAAATTTCCTCTCCTCCTCTATTTATTTTTTCCCTTCTTTAAATATCAAACTGTTAATTTTTCATTGGGTGATTATATGGAGATGATCATTGGATATTGTCAACTTCCTCTCCGAGGATTTCAATTTAAAAAGAAACAAGTTGCTCATCAGAATCTGTTCTGCACTGTTATGAACATTGGGTTTTGAGTTTCACATGGACATACTGTTAAACATTAACTATACCCATAGGCCTCCTTACTTACTGGTCATTTCAAGGTTTTTAAAACCGAATCAGACAACGAATAGGTCAGGGGTCCGTTTCGGGGTCGAACAATTCGACCGTTCAAATGGAATGGATAATCTATTTTGACAAAAAATTAAAAAGGTTGGACAGTTCAAATGGTTCGATTGCCTGGATCAGTGGTTTACTTATCAAACCAACGTTTTTTTTTGGCAAAATAACGGTTCTAGGGTAAAATGAAACCGATCACCTGACTGTTTCCCGTTTTTCGGTCCGACAGCCTGACCCGGTCCAATTTTGAAAACCATGGGTCAGTTAGAGTCAAATTTGGCTAAATTATGAACTCAAGTCATTTAAGTATTTTGACCATTCATATTAATAGAATAAATTAAAGGTCCTTTTGGTTTGCAGTTAGAATCAGAATGAGAATCCTTTGAAATTGGAATCAAAATTGTTTATTCCTATAATTCAGATAATCTGTTTAGTTCAGACAGAAATGACAATGAAAATTTGAATAAACAAAAATGGGATTTCATTCCCAAAAGTGAGATAGAGAATAACCATTCCCTCAAATGAAGAAATACCATTCCAATAAGAATAAGAATATGAATGGGATTTCGATTTAGCCCAACCAATTGGAATCGGAATAACCCATTCCGATTCCGATTCCAGACCCTTATTCCCGCGAGCCAAATGGGGCCTAAACTCCTATGATATTGATCTATGTTGCTTGCGTGCAATATTTCACATGGTGTATGGTAATAGTTTATGATCCCAAAATCTTCTTTATAGGTTCTATCAATCAGATCTTTCTTTTCAAATCTCAACATGTATAATATAGACTTCATGTACTTCTCTAAATATTTAAAAAATGCGAGATGCTTCTGAAAAATTGGTTTCTATATCTAATATTATAGAATTATTATCAATCAACAATTGACTTGGCTGTTCAAAGGCTTATATCAGAGTCAAGTAGATAGTAGGAACACGTTTTATTTTATTATATATAAATTAGGTAAATTAACAATCAAACTCCCTATGCTTATGCTTCTGGGAATTTTCAATGACCTCCCTTATTTTTGAAAAGTGTTTTGATTCCCCCCTTATTTTGCACCTTCTCACCAACAGAAAATGTAAAAATGACATTAATGTCTTGAAGCCAAAAAACAAAGAGGGCGATCTGTTTGGTGTGTATTTAAAAAATCTGCTGATCTCACCTGATTGAAATAACCGATTAGTATTTTAATGAATCATAGCAAAGGATCGACAAATATGAAGGATGAGTAGTAAAGTGTACAACCGTCCACAGCCAAAATTGATTGAAGTAGAGAAAAAAAATGCAATTGATTGACCCAAGGAGAGCTGAAGGAAGTATTTTAGTGAGTAATGGAAGGCTGAGGTTCCTCTATTCTATACTAGCTAATATGGTTGTTGTTGACTTGTTTACACTTGTAAATTAATTACTTTAGGTTGTGTTTGGCAACGTTGGTTTGTCTTTCAATCTAAAGCATTTAGGATTGAAAAGCACTTTCATCATAAAAACACAAATGAATATCACAACATATACTTAAATCATGTTAATTGGTGGGAAATATGCACTGTTGCATTAGTTACATCAATGTCATGTTTATGCCACCTCAACCAGGCCATTGAGACTCTGCCCCCAAGATCAAGATATGTTAAATTGACATCTCTTCAATGCAAAAGCATTTAACTGATGGTGATTCAGTTGATAGGATCTATTAAATCCCTTGCCATCAGGGTGGGGGTAGGGGTAATGGCAATGGGTGATGAATTACCCCCATTGTGTAGCCCCGTGAAATAATGATAATAATAATCATCATCTTGTGAGAGGTTATGAAGATCATGCTGGAATCAACTTGGCATCAATACCCCTCCATCAAGTCTCTAACCACCCATTAAAATAATGAAATGCACAAATATGGTTAACTAGCCACGTCACCATCACTTCCATTGTGGCAAATTAATCCTTGCAATATTGTTAATATGATCAACAAACGTTAACCAATTAAGTGGAATGTGGAATTATTGAACTATGAAGGTCCCCATGTTCTCAACTACTCTTCAACAACTACAATACTAAGATGAATGGGATACAATAATACAATATGGGAACTGGTCTTACGTGGACAGGGGTATTATTCACATGTAACTAATGTGCAAGGGTCTTATTATTAACAAAAAACAAGATTTTGCATTTTACATATTTACATTTATGCTCCTTCCAAAAATAGCCTTAATTTAATAATATCTCACCTTATCAATGAAATTAGGTAGACCCACCATAATACAAGGGTATGGCCCACCATTTTGCCTCCTGAAATCTCTTTGATGGGCCCATCTCTCCATGCATGCAACATAAAAACTAATGACATTATTCCAAGCTCTCACGAAAGTCAGTTCTGATTCTTCTGAATGAGTTGAATGAATTCCACAAGTCCCCTGTAGATTGGGACACTGCACCAGGAAATGACTGATTGTATACAAATTGCATTAAAAACCCTGGTGGTCTTCCAAATGTTACGGCAATTGATAGAGTCCAGATGTTGTTCATCTTTGACCATACAAGCATCTACAATAATCTGGACACAACTTGTCATCACCAACTGAAAATGAAGTACAGGAAAATAGTTAATTTGGGGGATCCTTTTTCATGTTAATGAGATATTAATTTTTCTTGATTTAAGCTTGATTTTCGAAGGAGTGGCTTCTTGTACTGATCTGATTATATAATTGAAGAAACTGATGAGATTTTGAAAGAACATCATTGTTCAACACATGTTATATATAAGTGGTGGAACGTTCGTATGAAAATGAAACTCCACAGTCTTAGAATTAACCATATGATTCTTAATTTCAACCTGTAATATTGTTACAATGAGAAAGCAAAGCACCTTATTTTAATTTGACTGATAATTCAAAGGGTCCGTTTATAAGTCTTTGTTTGGCAAGCGCTTGTATCATCTGTCATATGTAAGCATTCACAATGGGTTGCCATTTGGCACCTTTTGAATTAATCAAAGACTTTCTCTGCAGATGATTTGGATATTTTCAGAGCTGCAAAGTTTTGTTTCTTTGCCTGATTTATGTAGATTGGGGTATTGACTTGAAGTGATAAGGCAATGGTGGATAGCCATTTATTTATTATTGAAAGAAAAAAAAATATATGTCCTTGGAAAATAGTTATGATCTATTCTTCTTCTTCTCCTGTGTGGTTCTAATTCAGATGGGAATCAACAAATTAGAATCAAAATTAACTGGATTGGATTCTCGTGCATTCCCAAAAGGAAGATGAGGGAATGGCCACCCCCTCAAATGAGAGAATGTCATTCCACCAAAAACAGAAGAGGGATTTCATTTCTGCCCGTTCAACCAAATAGTTGAAATCAGAATGGACCAAACAAACCTTTAATGTTCATTACTTAAAACTGCTATTCCGGTGAATCAAGTGAACCCTTGATATATTTATTCACTACTTTTTATTTTTCTACGTACCCTGCAGTTTCTTCTCTATTTGTTAATTAATTAATTTATAATATGCAAATTTCCATGTATTACAACAATTTAAAAAAAAAAAAAGTCATTTTTCATTTAAGTCTTGACAGCTATGAAAGAAAAAAGAATGTTAGCTTCCAATATTTCAGCTCCATCAGCTAAATAATAGACCGAGGTTATTAATTTATATGTTGTTTCCTTGAGAGGCATCTCTGATTTCACTTGTAAAAAAGTGATTTAATTTTAAAAAACAAAATCCATAAAGATGGCGTCAAGACCAAAGTTACGTGTAAACTATACATTCTTCTCTTTCTCTACTCCTCTAATAAATTCAATCCCAAATATAAAGAACTGGGAAATAAGGAAATTGATTAGTTCCATGATTCACCAATTCAATGTCTTAATTAAACTATGAATTAATCCGTGGTCCAGCATCATTGGAGCGAGAGACGTACGTATTAATTAACTAAGACTTAATCTGTGGTCCAGTATTTTTACTGGTGTGATGAGAGCTCAGTTTCATACGCAAAGCAATCTGCTTCCACCACTTCACTGCAATTGCCATTCTCAAATTAGCCAGCTCCTCAGTCCTCACTACGATCTTTGAAGTTTGAAACACTCGTCAGACAGTCAGACCCACTGATTACTTTGTCCTGCTCTGCTCAGCTGGCAATTCTTGAATATCATCAGCCCACACAAGTGGACTAATTTTGTCCTGCTCAGCTGGAACAGTACTGGCGGACTCGTTGCTGACTCACCCATCTCCGGTCCACCTGTCTGCCCAATCGGCCCTCTGTTAGCGTTGCGTGTGCTACTGTCAAGATGACGTGGGCTGACACTAGCGTTTAGCTTTTCCTTGATGGGGCCCACCCGGATTAAGGTTTAAGTAAGACTAATTTATTGAACAGAAAGAAACACATAAATACTTGCCACTATGCCACATGGGAGAAGGCCAAGAAACAGAAGAGGAATGACGGCATTGACCGGTATATATAAAATAGTGAGTGAGGAGCTTAATTTGCTTGTCCAAGTAAAAGAAGTGGGTCGTCGTCATTTGTCTCTTAAACCACTTCAATGAATCCATTACTAATTAACAGCTGTGGCCGATCTTTTGTGTATTGTTTAATTTACATCATCAAATCAATGAATCCA